AAGGATGAGTACAAGATGCCAAAGACACCCAGAAAACATGGTTAAAACTCTCATCTCCCTGGTGACAGCTGATTGAAGTACGACCGCACATGTTTACATTGTTTCTGCACAGAGAAGATGGTTAAATGCCATTAATCGGTTAAATGTGTTTTTTTAAAACAGAAACTAACCCAGTTGGTAGATGGTTGTAAACAGATGGCCACACAATGTCTTTTGCACTTACTCAGATTCTTATAAGTGGAAAATTTAGATGTGCATAAGCTACTTATGCACAAGCAGAACTTCTCTGTGCACAACGTACACAACGTTAGCACAATAAACCCAGGGATGCAACCAGGTGATTATGAAAATGGTTAGCTCAATAAAACAATGACACAATGTTTGTATTTTACTTCTCTTTTTTCCAATAAGAATGTTTGTTTTAACTGTAATACACAATGATATAGCAGAAACCTGTTCTTGAACACAATCTTTGTCCTGCTAGAAAGTCTAAGGGGGACATTCAAATGAGGTTTAAATGGTGATATCTATGGCATCAGCTGAACTTTTATTATTGAGTTATTTTTCAAACAGGAATGTTCCAAAGTACTTTTAGTTTACCCCGATGATGTTAACAAGTTTGTCTCAAAATGTAGATTTCAGGTGTTTAGCTGAAATTTTTCATTGTATATTACATGTGTGGAGTTTAAAAGAAGTAAGTCTGTAGCAGATGTGACCTCCAAGATGTTAAAGAGTGATTATACAAATGACACGAAGCATGTTCATGACGCTTTAGAGGCTCTGATTCAGTGGAATCAGACATTTGTTTAACTTTGTTAATAATCTCTGTGATAGCTAGCCTAAGTGTTAGCTTACTATAGTGCTGCTAACACGTGACACTACATGACATCTTCTTGTCTCACGCTCACAAACACTCTTTCCCCCCAATAAACATCACCAATTCTAAAAGGTAGTCACAATGTTTATTAGATGACAGATAATCATGATAATGAGGAATATTCTAGATTTGAACGAAAATAAATTTTACATGGCTGACTCTAAAAGCTTCACAGCAGCACTTTTGTTTTTTAGACCAGTGAGTCATAGCAAGACCTCTCTAGTATATGTGAAGGACAGAGCAGAAGCCCTCTCAACTAATGTCCTCCTCACAAACATAGGCTTGGATAGATAAGGGAAGCATATCTGCACATAACATGCACCCACGCATCCTTCTTCCTCGGCTGCTGTGTTTATGCTTTCATGTATCTGTCCTGATTCCACTGAGCTGACGTTCAGTTTGAGCTCCAGTCTGCAGTCTGCTCTATTTTTAGCTCTTTACATCTCTGAGGCAGGAGGTGCTAAGTGAGGCAGCCTTCCCAGAAGTTCACAGTGAAAAGAAGCACATCTTGAGGCACAGCAGTGCATTTATATGATGGGGAAAGGAAACATGAGACAGAAACATGAGTGACACTACACTTCCTTCTTTAGCTTGCAGTCTTGTGTTCTCCAGAAGAATCTTTAAAACTGAAGAAACACCATCAGCAACAGCTCAGGTTCATTAACCTGTAATTGCTAGTGAACATAGACTGAATATAAAAGACGAATACAGTCACCGTGATATCAACCACTGGTTAGGGATGAAGGTGCTAAAAGCAAGGGGTGGATCTGACTATTATAACTACTGCTATAATCCGTGTTTGACCTTAAATCATCAATGGAGTCCATGAATGTTCTAGAGATTTACAGCCCATAGTTACCTGATTCAGAAAAACATTTATTACCTTTATTAAACACATTTATTAACATTTATTAATCACTTTAAGCATATTTGCACTGCACAAGACACTAAATAATGTGGATTGCACAACACTGGACATTATATTCCTCATTTCCAGTTAATACTTGTACAGCT